CACTGCCCCGAAATAGCAGCCCAGGATGACACCCTGTGTAGGGACACTCCAGTGGGCACCCTAAAGTGTCCCCTACCCCAGGCATTCCCATCAGCTCCCAGATCTCTAGTGGGGTTATAACCCCCCTCCAGTGCCAGGGGTAGATGGGGAGAGTGACATATCCCCCAAATGGGAATGGATGCTCACTGGACACAGCCTGGTGGCACTCACCCCCTGGTAGATATCCACAGAGACTGTCTCGTTGTTGGTGGGGAAGATGCTGGCGTAGTGACTGATGCTGCTGTTGATGCACTTGTTGTGCTGTAAGGCATGGCAGGCACGAGTGTGACAGCCACCCAGCAGCTCCCACAGGCACAGGGGATCCCCACACATCACCTCTCAGGGAAGGAGAACGTGCCGTCCCCAGGGGATGCTGGTCCCACCCATGTCCACAGCTGGGCACATCTGCCATCTCCCTGTGGCCGTGAGGTGACACTCACCACGTCCTCGTTTCGCTGGTGGTAGAAAGCCTCGCCGAAGACCGCCATGACAAAGAGGTTGATGAGGAAGGAGACAAAGAGGGCCAGGCAGGACTCGGTCAGGAAATACATGTTGGCCTCCTGCACCGCCTCCTTCTTGGAGCGGTCGATCACACGTGTCTGGGCATGGCCAGTGGCATGGGTGACAAGGGGTCACCTGAGCATCCCTGTCCCAGAGCCAGGGCCATCTGGTCCCCACCAAGTGTACCCTGAGGCACCCTGACAGAACTGTGCCCGTGGCAGTGCCTTGATCTCACCTTAACCAAGGAGGAGTGCAGGAAGATGTTATGGGGCATGATGATGGCGCCGATGATGCCCATGGCCTGCAGCAGCTCCTTTCGCCCACAGCCCGGGCAGCTGGGCAGGAAAATGCCCTTCAGCACCTCCACCTGCCTTGGCCTCACCACCACGTACTGGGAAGCAGTGAGAGGGGGCACTGTGAGCTGCCAGCCCCCTAGCACAGGCTGGTAGCACGGGGACACCGTGTGGTGGGGTCCCTTGCCAGCCTTACAGGAAAAGGGTTGTCCCCAGCTCCCCCCTTCACCTCATAGCCAAAGGTCAGGGCCATGATGGCGATGAGGAGGCCGAAGAAAGCCTCCAGTTTGCGGAGCCCTAGAGAGGTCAAGAGATAGGGTGGAACAGAGCAGGGGACACTGGTGCCACATGGGCACTGACAATACCCCCAGCCCTCATCCTGGTGCTCACCATACTTATCGAGGAAGAGGAAGAAGAGGGTGTCCACGATGGTGATAAGGACCCCAGCCCAGAGGGGGATGCTGCAGGATGGCCAGGGGTGGGATTAGATACATGGCCCTCTGTGGAGCAGGGCTGGGGGTGCCTGTGGGGAGGCTCACCGGCCAGCTGAGAGCAGGCTGAAGGCAATGGCTGTCCCGATCACCTCCTGCATGTCAGAGCCAATGATGGCGATCTCAATCATGAGCCAGAGCAGCACGCGGGGCACCTGGAGGGGACCATGAGGTGCCTGAGCCCCCAGTGGTGCCTAGCTCTGGGCAAGCTAGCTCAGCATCCTGGGTGCAAATCCCTGTCTCCAGGCTGTAGCAGAGCAGCATGGGGACCCGGAAGATCCCTCTCAACACAATCTCAGGATGAAAGATGGATGCTAAATCTGAGCCTGTTCCCCCCTCCTCATCCCTGCCCCAGTGAGAGCTGAGGATAGGATCTGTCTGTCTAGATAGGGGGGTTTGAGGGAGGTGGGGCAGAGGAATGCATCCAACCCTCCTTTTGGGGACATGTCATTCACCCAGCTCATTCCTCCCATCAGGATCTTGACACTTAGATGGGACCCCCAACTCCCCCCTCCTCTGTCGTGTGATCCCTCCTCTGGAGCTCCCCCCACTTTCTGCCCCAACACGCTCAGGCTTTCCCGCGTCTCCGCTTCGCGTTGCTGCCCCACGCCTGGCTCACTCCCGCGGGGACGCTCTCATGTGTCCCCAGGTCACACCAGCACACTGAAGCAGCTGCTTACCACCTCTCACCCCGGGCCCCTGCACTGCAGGGGTGGGGCACTAGGTGGGGGACAGCAGGGCTTGGGGGGCTTTGGGGAGCCCCTGAGAGAGGCAGGTTGCTCACAGCATCTTCCTGCTCCTCTCCAGCCCTGCAAGGCCCTGCTAGGACTGTCACCAGCCCAAGCACAGGGTCCCAGGCTGTCCCTCCCCGTGGTTGCTCACCTTGGGGTAATAGAGGTAGCAAATCTCGCCCAGGTCCTTCCCGGTCACCACGCCTAGACGGATGGCGAGGCGCTGGCACAGCAGCCCCAGGACGGTGGCCCACAGCAGCACCCACAGCAGCTGGGGGGCGGGAGGGAGGCAGGCAGCAGGGACTGGGTGTGCTGGGCAGGACCCAGCCGCCCGGGGGTCCCCGGTTCAACCAGGGTTTCAGGGAAGAGAGGGGGTGCAGGTGCTCTCCCAGCCCAGTCAGAGGGGCGCCCCCCGGCACCCCCGGGTGCGCTCACCCTGTGCCGAGGCCCCCTTGCCCTTCCTGCTCCCGGGCCGGGGCAGCCAGCTGCCATGGGCAGCCGTTGGCGCTGGAGAGGTTGCGAAACCCCCGCCTGCTTCCTGAGCCCGGGGGGAGCCGGCTCACCTTGAATCCCGCCAGTGCCCCTCCCTGCAGGTCCGACTCCACGTTGCCTGGGTCCAAGTAGGCGATGCTCATGAGGAAGCCGGGACCGGTGAAAGCCCAGAGTTTCCTGAAGCTGAACCCGGGCTGGGACAAGGCAGCAGGTCAGAGCCGGGAGCTCCGTTCAAAGCCAGGGTCTCCTAATCCAGCCCCCTAAGCCCGGTGCTGCCCGCACTGATGTGTTTAGCACACGGAGGGCATTTTCCTGACAGTTTTGGAGAGGGAATGCTGCCCCCAGCCTCTCCCTGTTAGCAGCAGTGCTGGAGGGGCAGTGAGGCCCCTCTGACCCATTGGACAGTGGTTTGCAGGGGGGTCCCAGGGCTGTCAGGCACCCATGGGATTCCACTGCTGTCCTTTGCTTTTGCTACTCTAGGGATTACTATTCCTTCCCCTTCTCTGTTCCACTGCCCCGAGACCAGACAAGGATGGGGGGGCTGGTGGGGTGCAAGCAGCCTTGGGGAGCCCCACTGGGCTCATCCATGGGTGGCCCAGGAGTGTTGTGTGAGCTGTGGGGTGATCCTTGTGGCTGGGTAGCACCTTGCCCCATTGTCTCAGTTTCTCCATCTGGAAAACGCTAAGCATGGAAACACTCAACCTGGGGCCATGACTTGCCTGAGCTAGGTCTGGGGGGCTGGGGGCATGTCCCCAGGGCATGACCAAGACACATATTCCCCACTGCAGTGGCCCTTTGCCTCCCCACCTCCAGCTCCCTGCAGCACTGTCCCGTTCCCCTGCCCTCCCTGAGAGAGCCGTGCAGCACCTACCCCACTGCCCTTGGGGATGCTGATGAGCTCGTCCAGGTAGGTCTGGGCCTGGGTGCCAGGGCGCTGTGGGGGCACGGGGCCCCTGTTCAGGGACCTGGTGAGGCCTGAGGGGGACAAGGAAGAGGAAGGGAGGTGGCAGCCTGCCAGGGGGACAAGGACACTGGTGGGCTGGCAGCCCTGGTACCAGCTTCCTTCAGTCCCACCTGACCCTGCCTGATGAACCCTATGAGGGAAAAGCACCAGTTTTCCAGGGGGGGCATGAGGATGACTATTTGGGATCTATCAAAGGCCACCCAAAGGGATCAGATGCTGCCTCCAGCTCAGGCGTCCCTAATACCCCTGGTCTGAGCCCTGTCTTCAGCAGTCCAAGAGCCAAGTGCATTTCTGGGCAGCAGGGACAGGAGGGGACCCTACTCCAGCTCCTGCTGCTGGATGGGCATAGAGTGAGGACAAGAAGCTGGTACTGGTCCTAATCCCCCCTTTGCAGCCCACCTGCATCCTGGGAATTGGTTGAATCACATTCCCAGGCTCGAGGGAACAGAGGATGGGGCAGGTGGGGAATCCAGGACAGGCTGGGGGGGATGGTGCCCACTGAAAGATGGAGCACAGCCAGGGGTCCCAGGGTGGAGGGAAGGGGGTCTAGGGGATGAAAGGATGCACAAGGGGTCCCGAGAAGTGTTGGGAGGCTCACCTGGTTCCAGTGATGCCATGGATGGACCCGATCCAGCCACAGTGCTGAGGCTTCCTGATTTCAGCTCTGAGTGCAGTGCCCGCTGCCCTGCCTTTAAAGGATCCCCCCGCAGTTGTGTCATCCCTCCCCCTCCTCAGGAGGAGAGGAGGAGGATAGGAGAAGGAAGTGCTCCTTCCCTACCCTTATGAGCACACACAGTCTCAGTTCCCCCCCTCCCGTGCCAGGAGGCCCCTTCCCTCTCCTTCCCTCCCCTTCCCTCCCTTCCCTCCCCTTTGCCTCACACACGTGCAAACACGAGGTACCCTCGCTGGGCGTGGGAGCACTTCTGCGTGTCACTGTCCATCACATGCCAAAGGCTCTGCTGGGGTGACTGTGGGGACAGGGGACAGTGTCCCACAGGGCAAGAAGGGAGGGCTGGCCCCACGGGAGTAGGGGAAATGCCATACAAGTGGGAGTGAGGAGGAAGCAGGCACGTGTTGCACAAGGAGATCAAAATGCAGCCTTGGCTGCTGGGGAAGCACCCAGCCAGGCGGGCTCTGGGGCGCAGGGTGCTCACATCACACTAAGGATGGCTTGCCAGCGTTGCAGTGTCAAGCTGTGCCAACAAAAGTGGGTGCCCTTCTGCCAGCCAGGCTGTGTCCCCCAGGAGATGGGCAAGGGGTGTCCCCCAGGAACACATGGGGTGGTGCCAGGTGCAGGGATGTGAGCCTGGCCCTGCTCCACAGTATGCTCCAGGCACCCCCACCCCCTAAGCGAGGGCTGGAACAGCTGGGAGAGGGGCAGGGTTCCACCAGAAGGAATGGTGGGGTTCAGCACACAGCTCAGCTCCACCTGCCCTCCCTGAGCCTCAGTTTCCCCAAAGCAAACAAGACTGGACAGGCAGTGCTGGCTGCTTTATTTGCTGTCAGCTGGAGGGTGGCCAGCTGGGGAGCTGGGGAGGGGGCTGGCAGCCCCAGTGGAGGCAAAGGGGGTCCCAATGGGCCTCTGGTGGGCGAAGAATTCCGCAGCAAAGGAAATGGTATCGTGTGGCTGCTGGTGGAGCAATGCCTGGAGGAAGTCAGACAGCAGTGCCCGCACCTCTGGGTGCTGCTGGAGGTAGGCAGCATGGGAGAGTTGCAGCTCCTCCTGCAGTGGGGTGGACAGGATGGGTGGGGTGGGCATGAACACACATTTCCCCCCTGGGCACTGTGCCAGGGTGAGGGGGACAGGAGCCTGGGTCCTTTCCCACACTTAGGACGGTGTGAGGAAGGATGTTTGTCCCCTGCCCCCTCTGTGTGGGGGCACACCAGGGGAGACCCTGCTGGAGACTGGCACAGCCCCAGGTCCCCTTGTCCCCATGTCCACCCATCTTACCTTCCTGTCCAGGAAATAGGAGTAGAGCTCCATGTCCTCCTCCCAGTCCAGGGGTTCTTTGGGGAAGGGGAGCTGGGGCTCAAACCTACCTGGCAGCAGAAAGGCAGGGCAGGGTGTTTCCCCTGGACAGCGGGGAGGGGCTGCCTGTGCTGGGAGAGCACAAACCTCCCCTGCTCAGTACCTGACTTGCTGAGGATGGACTCATCCTGGAGAAGCATCAGCACTGGGGAGCCAATCTGCATCAGCTGAGCCAGATGCCTGAGAGGGGAAGCAGAGCCCTTGACCTTCCCATCGTGGGTCCCTCGAGCCTGGCAGGGCTGGGTGCCCCTGGCCGGGGCGCTGCCCTTACCCGCTGGGCAGGAAGCTGCTGTGCCACACGCTGGGGGCGCCTGTGCTGGCGCGCACGGCTCGGCGGATCACGAACACCTCTGTCTCTGCCGAGCCCACCGCCTGCCGCTGGATGCCCAGGGCAGACTGGGGGCGGTACAGCCAGGGGTCAGCCTTGGCTCGGTCACCCCTGCCCCCAGCTGCCATCCCCACGTGTCCCCCATGCTGCCCACCACATTCTGCCCACTGCCACTTCCCGCATCCCACCCTGGTGTCCCAGCCTGACCCAGACCCGCCCGTCCCACAGGCCCTCCCGGCTGGCGGCTCACATAGCTGAAGGTGCAGAGGTCGCCCTCGCTGTTGATGGCTGGGAAGACGAGGCCGGGGGGCATTGTCTGCCGGCGGGCCAGCACCCGCAGCAGCAGGAGGCTGGCGCCCTCCAGCAGCCGCGCCCGCAGCCTGGCCCGGCCGTACGAGAAGCTGTGGCACCGCGGCTCTGCCTGCAGAGAGACCTGCCTGCCTCATGGGACAGCCACAGATGCTGTCCTGCATCCCCAGGGGCAGCATCCCCCCCGAGCTGGGCAGCCCGGTGAGACAGGCCAGCTGTGCTGTCCCCTCCCGGGATGTCACCCTGCCCTCAGCCTCACCCCTCCCTCCTGCAGGGTCCTCGTCACCGTCATCCCGTGCTCGTGGCTCACAATGTGGGTCGTCTTCTCGGTGGGATGTGGTGTGAGCTGTGGGAGGGGTGGGAGGCACGGGGTGGAGGGCAGAGCCAGGGCACCCCTCCTCTGAGGGGGCGACTCCAGCCCCGCTGTCAGTCGGGTACCACAGCAGATGCATTGTGGGAAACTCCCCACCCCAGCTGCCACCCAGAGGAGGGCATGGGGACCAGGCTGGTGGGGCAGAGCTGGAGTCTAAGCATGACGAAGGACACCAGACTACCCACAGCAGCCTTGCAGGGGGCACAGCCCCCAGGAGGGCACCACTGCAGGGCACACCCCAGGGCAGCGGGTAGGACACAAGGAAGGGGAAATGCCACCACCATATCAGTCACCTCCAGGCACTCCTGCTCCTCCTGCTCCAGGGTCTCCAGCTGCCAAGTCACATAGGCTGGCAGAACAAAGCCATGCTCAACCAATCCTGTTGGATTGGACAGTCCCCGTTCCCAGCCCTGGTGGCTGGTGGACGGGATTTTCCAGCCCTGGGGAGGAAGGAACCCCCCAAAGGCCATCCCTGGCTCACCCTTGAGGGTGCTGGAGGCAGGCACACCATTCTGCTTGCCTCGGAACCTGGTTTGCACCAGGATGCAGCTCTGCATCGGCGCACCTTCCTGCTGATAGGGTGCCCACTGGGCTGCCATCCACCACTGGCCCTGTGCCTTGTCCCTTGGTGAGGCCCCCACGGCCACCACTGCCAGCGTCTCAGCAAAGAGGCACTTCTCCAGCTCCTTCAGCCCTGCATAGAGGGATGGTGACCCCAGCACAGATGGTGACCGCGAGGAGATGGTCACTCTGGTCACTCCCTCCCAAAGTCACTGCCGCCCCTGCAGACGTGCTCCCTGTCTCCATCCCCCCCTGCAGGCTGGGCCGAGCCCCTCGCCATTTATCCCTCAATCCTTCACTCTCCGGCTCCCTCCTGCCGGGCCCGGTGCCCTCACCCTGCAGGACAAGGGGGAAGCTGGAGGAGGCACGCACCGATGAGGCTCAGGAACTCGGCAGCAGTGTCCGCCACGCTCGGGCTGTCCCGTGGGCGCTCGGGAGGGGGCTCCATGCCTCGCCTGGGGGCTCCTGCTGCCGGGGTCTCAGTGAGGGGGCGGCGGGGCTCCCCCGAACCGCGGGACCGCCCCACGCCTGACCCTGGGGGGCAGTGACACCCACCCCGCCTCCGCAGCCCCCAGCCCCTGTCGGGTCCCCCCGGGCCCCGCCACCCTCGGGTCCCCGCCCTGCCGGACCCACCCCGTGCCCCCGACGCGTCCCCGTCTCCCGGCAACGCCCTGGCCCCACCCCTTAAAGGGGCCGCGCCCCGCCGCGGGGTTTAGCGCCGGGGGCTCCCCACCGAGAGGGAGAGAAAAGGAGGAAAAGGTGTAAAATTGATCCAGTCTTTTATTTGGGGCGTGGGGGTGATTGTGGCTCCGATCCCCAGCGAAGCAGCACCGCCCATACCCCAGCAGTGCGACCCTCTGGCCCCGTCCCAGTGTGTGCGTGCGTGTGTGTGCGTACAGGGGGGCTCCGGCGTCAAGGATGGGAGCCCCGTGCCTGGAGGTAGAACTGCCGGCCCGCCTCCCCTTGCTGGCTCCATCCCAGCCCCCACAAAGGAGATTCACAACACTGGGGGCTTAAGGGGAGGGGGCTGAGAGAGGGGGTGGTGGTGGAGGGGAAAGTGGAGACTCCCAGAAAAACGGGGGAGTGGGGGGAAGGATTGTAGGAGAAGCCCTTGGTGCCATTTCTATAGCCCCAGCAGTGAGGTGGGGGGCTACAGACCCCCCGAGAGGGGATTGAGGTGCTTCTACGTGACAGCTGGTGACCCCCAAGTTCGAGGGAGCAAAGGCAAGGATCACTTATGGGGTGCCCACTTAAGGGGGTGTCCACTCTTCCCCCTCCCCCAACCCTGCACCCCAGGAGGGAGATTCACAGCAAAACAAACCAGACAGTCTTGGGCCCCCTGTGCCCAACCATCACCCAGCCCCGTGGAAAGGGGGGGCCCAGGGAGTGGGGGGCAGATCTAGGTGGCTTGGTAGAGGTCCTTGCGCCTCCGCACCTCCTTGAGGACACGGGCACGGAAGGCGTCGGGGTCCTCCCCCCCGGCCTGCCACAGTCCCAGGGCCTCCTGCAGCTCGGGCCGGTGGGTCCGCAGGAAGGGGTTGTAGGTCTGCTCCTCCCCCAGCGTGGAGGGGCACTGTGGGGGCAGCAGCTCAGCTCCCCTGCTGGAGGCAGCACCCCCGGCAGGGAGCTGGGAATGCCCCCAGAGCCCCCTGCCCCTATGGCACCCCCCATGCAAGAGGGTGTTGGGATGCAGCATCCCTGCCAAGGGAACCCCGTGAGGGGTTGGGGTGGTGGGGGCTGCTCCTAGGGACCCCCAGGCCTCACCGTGCTCCTCTTCTCCTGGCGTTGCTGCACCGCCCACTGCAGCTTCTGCTCCAGCGCGGAATTGTCCAGCTCCAGGAGGCTGGCGAAGGTCAGGCACTCCAGTGCGTATTCGTGGCCTGTGGACCCCCATATGCAGCTCTTAGCATCACCCCCAGCTGGCTCTCCCCCTTGGCAGTGGGACTAGGGGGACAGCAGCAGCAGCTCTGCCCTGCTGCTGGGGACACTTACCTGGCCAAAGCAGCGTGTCCTCACCCAAGCTCACGGCCACATCCAGGGAGGCCAGCATGGTCTCAGGGGAGCCCTCAAACGGCCTGCCTGCACCCCCACACAACTGCCTGTCATGGGGGGGGTCTGGGGGGTACCCCTAAGCCATCCCAGCATGGGATAACCCCCAGCCCCCTGTCTGGGGTTGGGTGTACTCACCACAGCCAGCGAGGAAGAGGAGGTCCCCGGAGAAGAGGCAGGGAGGGCTGCCAAAGGGGCCCCCGTCCAGCACATAGACCATGTGGCCCACAGTGTGCCCAGGAGTGGCGAGAGCCTCGAAGGTCAGGCAGCCCACAGTCACCTTCTCCCTGTCTGCAAGTGGGCTGTGCCGGGAACAGGGGGCACCGTCAGGGTGCTCCCCCAAACCCAGCACCTCCCCTGGCAACCCTTCTCGCACACTGGTGTCAGCAGCGCGCCAGGACTCTGTCCATCATGGAACTGCGGGGATGGACTGCTGGGTGAGTGCTGCAGACAGTGGGGGCTGGGAATGAAGCCCCCCCAGATTTACAGGGTGCTAGGGGGGTGCAGAACTTACTTGGTGAGCCGTGGGATGGCATCGAGAGCGCTGCCATACACCCTGCAGGAGCTGTGCTTCTGGCAGAGCACCTCGTTCCCTCCGCTGTGGTCCCTGCAGACAGGGAGGTCAGAGACCCCAAATGTACCCCCCCATACTCTCCCTACTAAATGGGGCAGGACTGGGGGTCACCTCAGGTGGGGCTGCCTTCACAGCAGCCACTAACCCTTCCAGAGCCTCCTATTGCACCTTACCAGTGTTTGTGTGTGCAGAATATGGCTTCCAGCATCACCCCCTCTTCTTCAATGGCAGCCTGGGGAGGAAATATGGACAGAGAGATAAGGGGGGACAGAGAGTCCAAGTACCAGTTTCCTCCCTAAACTCTCTCTCCCAGCTCCCCTGTCATTATCCAGTCTTGCCTTGGGCACTAAGGGCTGCAGATTAGGAGCAAATTTGCTCCCCTCTAACCCCAAAATACAGAGACATGACACCCCCTCACCTGGAGACAGCCAAACACCGGGTCAGAGTGGTTGTGGGGGTCTCACCTGTACAGCCAGCGGGTCAGAGGGGTCGATGACGGCCGCTTGGCTGGAGCCAGTGTCGATGACCAGGTAGCTGTAGTTGTTGGAGAGTACGGGAATGGGCAGGATTTTCACCCCTGGGGGGAAGAGACACAATCAGGGCATGATCCCCCCCCAGCTGGAAAATGGGGAGTCCGGGTCAAACTCCCCACATCTTACATCAAATTCTTAGTTAAACATGCTTCGGGTAGTTCGGTGATGGCAACCTCTCCCCAGCCCAAAGCGCTGGGGGCACTGCAGGGCCGAGGTGTGGGAGGGGCTGCCCGGACTCACCAGGGAAGCAGTAGGGCTGGGGCACGGAGTGGCCGTGCGGGTACCGCTCCCGCGCCTTCTTCACCTGCCGCTGGTAGAAGAGGTAGCCCAGGCGTGTGCGGGCGTACAGGCTGTACCTGGGGAGGGCAGACACCCCTAGGCATTAAACCCCAGTTCCCCTAAGGAGCCCACTTGGGAAGGGGAATACTGCCGGGGCTGTCACTCTCACAGGGAACACATACATGGCCGCTTTCTCATTCGGGGGGGGGGGGGGGGGCTACAGGTGTTCTGTGTGTACCCCACAATCCAGATGTGTAGTGAGGGCAGAATTGGTTCCCCGAGCAGGCATCCTCCAGCTCCTTCGAGCAGCAAGGACTGGAGGGGGGGGGACATTGCTGCGGGGTGCTCACCAGGAGGGGCTGGAGCTGGATGTTCCTCTCCATGCTCCGGGGGGGAGACATGCCCAAGCCTGCCATGGTCCGGGGAATTAGGAGAGAATGGGTCGAGGAAAAGGGAGGCAAGAAATGCCCCCGTGCATGTGGGGGTGCAAAAGACATAAGGCTCGGAGGGACCTCCCCGTTTGCACAGCAGCAATTTGGGACCGGACGGGGAATGCTGCAATGACGGACATGTAAAGACCCGGGTTGCAAAGCCCATTCCCGGCCGAGGGCACCCCTGGATGGCACTCCGGGAGCGATCCCTGTAGTAGCGGTGGGAGCCCGAAACCGGGGAGCAGGGGCTCCTGCCAGCACCGGGTAGCCTGACCACGGCCGGGGCACCAGGGCAGGTCAGCGGTGACACCCGAGAGAAGGCGCCCGCACGGGAGGGTGACCGGCACCGCGCGGGGGGAGCCGGTGGCTGATCCCCGGCCCCGGCGGCCGGGCTGACATCGCCCGCCCCCACGCCCCCGGCCGGAGCGGGCTGAGCCCCAGCCCGGTGTCTCGGTGCCGGCGCGGCCGCAGGTTTCTCCCCGGGCGGCTCCGCAGAAGCAGGGGAGGCGGTGGGCCCTCCCTCCCGGCGGCAGCACAAAGGCGGGCGGTGGCGGCTGCCTCCCTGCGGGGGTCCCGCAGCGGCCCCCGCTCTCGCTCTCTCGCTCACTCACCCCAGGCGGAACAGCAACGGGGCGGCGAAGGCCATGAGCGCGGCGGCGGCGCGGCGGAGGAGGCGCAGGCAGGCGGCCCCGAGCCCGCGCGCCCCGGCCGCTGCTGCCGCCGCCGCCGCCGCCGCCCCGCCGGGCCCCGCGGCCATGCCGCCAACCGGCGTCACGCGCCTGCCGCGCCGCGCCCCCTGCCGGCCCCGCCGCCGCCACGGCACCGGGAGCGGGGGGGGGCACACGCTCGGCACCGCGCTCGCGTCACCCGCCGAGAGGAGGGGATTCCCCCCCCGCTGTCGCGAGGGGTGTCCCCCCGCTGACGTCATTTCGTGAGGAAGGGGGTCCCTGAGTGACGTCAGAGCCGGCGGGAAGGAAATCCCGGGGGGACGGCCGAGGGCAGCGGGGTCCGTCCCCGGGAGCAACAGGCGGGAGGGACAGCGCGCCCCGCCGCCGGTCCCGGCCGCCCCGGGTGCAGGGCGCGGAGCCGCCGCGGGGGGGCGCGGTGGGCGGTGGCTGCCCCCGCCCCGTCCGACCCGTCCCGGCTCGTCCCGTCCGGCGGCGGCCGCAGCCCGGCGGAGCAGCGCGCAGCAGGTAGGCTGGCCCGCCCCGCTCCGCGACCCCCGCCGTTCCCGAGTCCCACCCGCGGCCCCCGGCGGTCCCCCTCGTTCTCTCGACTCCCCTCCGCCCGCTTCGTGCCCCCACCCCCCTGACCCTGCGCTCTCCGGTGCCACAGCCGGCGAGGGACTGTCCCAGCACTCTTCCGAGCGTCCCGGAGGCCGACGGGGACTGGGCGAGGGTGGGCGGCCGGTCGCTAAACAGCGGGGACACGCTGCGACACCCCGCTCCCCTGTCACCGGAGTGGGTGGGGGCACGTCGGGTTGGGGTCCGGCGGCGGGAGGAGAGGGAACGGGGTCCCGCAGGGAGGGACGCGGGGGGACGGGACCCCTACGCGCGGGGTCCCTCTGTAGCACTGGTGCTGTTTTCCGGACCCCACGCGATGGCGTGGCAGGGGATTGGGGCGTGGTGCGGGGTGGTTCGTGGGAGGGCAGCGACACTTGTGCTGTGGACGGTGTCCTCACGGACGTGAGTGTCCTCACGGACCCCGTGGGGTGTCTCGGGAGGGGTGGGCACGGGTTTGTGGGGGTCACACCATGAGGGTGCGTGGGGACCAGCACTGGGTAGCGTGGGGGTGCCAGGGCTGGGGCACAGGAGGATGCCTCTGTCCCATGTCTGTGCCCCCGGGAGAGAGCTTGCAGAGCGGCAGAGATGTGGGAGAGGTGATGCCAAACCCCAGCAAGCTTGTGTAGTGTGTGAGTGGTGTGGGCCAGCAGGGACATCCCGCCTGGGTGGGCCGTACTGACCCTCTCGTGTCAACTGAGCACAACTGGCCTGGGCTGGGCCGGGCCGGGACAAGTTGTGTTGTGCTGTGCTGTTGGATTGTGCTGTACTGAGCCGTGCTGTGCTGCAGGATGCAGCTGTGCCCTTTTGTACTGTACCAGGCTGTGCCATGCCATGCCAGGCTGTGCCACTCTGCTCTGCCATACTAGGCTGTGTTGTACCGACCTGTGCTGTACTGGTGGGAGCTTCCAGGTTTCTCAAGAGTGAGGTGCTTTCTCAGGCAGCCTGAATGTGGGGAGCTCCGTTCCCTGCCCCAAACCATGATCCCCTCCTAAGGTGGTTGTGTTTCCCCCAGGAACCTGTGGAGCTTGTGGCAGGGCTCCAAGCCTGGCAGGAGTGCCACGGTGGATGGTGGGGACACAACCTGTGCTGCCTGTGAGATTGTGGAAGGGATGATGGTTGGCTGTGCCCCATGTGCCTGCTATATGTGCCTTATCTGTGCTGAGTCACGGTGCCAGTGCAGAGTAGCACCCTGTCCCCAGGGACCGTGTCATGCCACTGAGCTGGCCCCGGGTTGCCATCTACCATCCAGCTGGTGACCTGAGTTTCGGGACTGTGCAGTGCCATGGACCTAGGAGGGTTCGGCTGCCTGCTTCCCTGGGTGTGGCAGCTGCTGGGACCCGTCCGGCTGGTTCCTTCCCTGTGCCCAAGGCTACCCCAATGCGGTGGAAGCAGGAGGGGCTGGAGCAGTCCTGAGGGGCTGGAGCAGTCCCAAGGTGCTGGTCATGGGCACAGGGTAGGACCCTGCTGATCTGGTCCCAGCTAAATACACCTCGCTTTCCCCAGACACCTGGGCTCCCTCCTGGGGACTCTGGTCCCCCAGTAACTTGAGTGTCAGTCACAGAGGCTTTCCTAGGGTCAAGGTCCTATTTTGGGCCCTTCCCTGGCCCCAGAGATGAGGCGGCACCAGGGGGTCCCCTGTGCTTTCTGGGAAACCAGTGTGGAGAAAGTGAACTTCCTGTCCGCATGGTCACTGCCATGCCGGTTATTTATTTTTGGTGCTGTCGTCATCATGATGAGGAAGGGCAGCGTGACTGTGGCAGCTCTGCCATGGCTGGCACAGTTGGGTGGCAGAAGGGATGGAGGGACAGACACGGAACTGCTCTCCCAGCCCAGCATGGCTGGCATGGGTGTGCCCCGGGCTGCGGGAAGCACTGGCGTCACACAGGAGGAAGGGCCCAATCCCCTCCTAGCCTGGGCCTGGTTAGCATCAGATCCTCGTTCCTTCCCTGGGATTGGTCCCAAGATCACATCACCGCTGCGGGCAGGAGGGTGGTGGGGGGTCCTGGCACCTTCCTGGGGTCTGGGGTGCCAGTGCTGAGGGGCTGGGAGGTGGGTAAAGGCCTGGCACTCTCTACTGGCAGCGCTGTTGTTTTCCTGGCCTTGGAGATCCTGCTTTCCTTCTCCTCCTCCTGCTGGGACCAAGCCCAGCTGGCCTTGAGCCCGGGCTGCCTGCTCACAGCTGCCGGGGGCTCTGTGAGGGAGCCTAGTGTGGCTGAGGAGGGGAGCTCAGCCCCAGGCGGGTCCCAACTCCGCTCCCAGAGGAAGAGTCCGTCTCCTGTAGAGGGGATGTGGGTGTCACATCCCCTTGTAAGGGGACTCAGGAGTTCTGGAGCCCCTGTGTGACGCATGCGGCTGTTGGGTGGGGGACACCCCTGAAATGGGAGTGGCAGTGGGATCTGTGTGGCTGTGATGAGGATCAGAGCCTGTGTTTCCATCCCAGGCAGTTGGCAGGGTGATGCCATTTGTCCTCAGTGTGGTGCCACCAGGAGCCACAGACCAGCCAGAGGTGCTGCTCCTTCCTCCCTGGCAATCTCAGGGCGGGCTTCAAAGAATGGAGAGGTCAGGTCCCTTCTGGAAAGGTCACGGCCAGAGGGGTCAGGTCCCTTCTGGAAAGGTCACGGCCCCGGTGCAGCCTGAGTCAGCGCGTGGCTGTGCCCTGCCCGCGGCTGGCCACTGACGCGGGTGCCGGGGACTCAGGGCACAGGAATGCGCGTGGCCCCAGCCAAGGGATATCCCTGGTCTCTTATTGACCTGCTGGCATTGAGGCCACCTTGTCCTTACTCATTAGGAGCCGCTATTAAAGTGGGAGGGGGAGGTTTTGTGGCTGCACGATCCCCTCTGTCCCTGCCCCTGCGGCTCCACTCACCGAGAACAGGTCCTGCCCAGGTGAGCTGTGCTGAAGCCCCCGCGTCTTCTGTCCCCTGCAGGTGCCCGTGGGAGGTGCAGGGAGCCGGCATGTCACATCCCAGCGCACCCCCGCTCTACGATGACAAGAACCCGCTCTACCCCCCGCCCCCCGGGGGGTACCCCCCGCCCCCCCACTATGCCGGGGGGTACCCGCAGCCTGGGGGATACCCTGCGGGGGCGGGGTACCCGCAGCCAGGGGGGTACCCAGCATCAGGGGGGTACCCTCATCCCGGCATGGCCATGCCCTCCATGCCCATGCGGTTTGGTAAGTGGGGCACCTTGGTTTATTTGGGGGAGGGTACTAGAAACAGGGGGGGCTGTGAGGGGCTGCATGCTGACCCTGGTGCTGAGGGGTGTCCCCCACAGGTGACAGTGGCCTTGGGGATGGCTCTGCCTTCCAATCAGTCGACTGGGACGATAGGAAAGTCCGGCATGCCTTCATCCGCAAGGTGAGTCCCAAGGGGCCAGGGGCACTTGTCAGGGTGGGGGGCCAAGTGCTGACCCCCCTGTCTCTTGCAGGTCTATGCCATCATCTCCCTGCAGCTCCTGGTGACGGTGGGAATCATCTCTGTGTTCACCTTTGTGTGAGTACAGGGTTCCTCCTGAAAAAGAGGAGCTTGAGTTCCTCCACGGGTATTCGGGGGGACAGTAGCTGCTGTCTCCTCTCCCTCACACTTGTCCCTCCTGTCCCACAGCCACCCTGTCCGCTCCTTTGTCCAGAGGAATGCTGCCATCTACTACGCCTCATAGTGAGTAGGGGCTCTGCTAGCTCGCACCCCCCAGCTCATGCCCCCACATCCACAGCCTCCCAGGCTGATCCTGGTGGGGGCTGTGGGGCTCACACCTGCTGTCTCTCCTTGCAGTGCTGTGTTCCTGGTGACCTACCTGGTGCTGGCCTGCTGCCAGGGTCCCCGGTGAGTCCCTAGGGCCCCCAGGATGGGTGTGTGGGTATGGGGGGTGTCTCCAGAGCATCAAGATAGGTTCCTGCCTAGGGCTGCCCCTGGGTGGTGGGGGCCAGGGGGACACGACATGGTTGTTGTCACTAGCTTACCTCTCTCCTGTTTCGTTCTCAGGAGACGCTTCCCCTGGAATATTATCCTGCTGAGCATCTTTGTGAGTGCGCTGGGACTGGCAGGGGGTCCTGGTGGTGCCCCCATGGCACTCCAGCTCCCCCTGGGTGTGCTGGGAGGGATAGGAGGACATGTGGGCAGGTGGGCAGACTACTGAGCTCACCCTTCTCTCCCACAGACGCTGGCCATGGGGCTGATGACAGGGACGATTGCCAGGTATGCCCTGGGGACCCTGCTGTTATAGAATCTGGGGTCCCTCCTGTCCCCCACTATGCAGCCAGCTCAGCTGAGAGGCTGCCAGCAGCCAGGGGATGCTCCAGTCCCTTGGGCTCAGGGACTGCAGAGTTCCTGTCCAGGATTGGGGCTGTGAGGGAGGGTCTCCAACACCCCTCTGGCAGTCGGATACTGAAGTGGGAGGTGACTTTCTTTGTCTCTAGCATGTACAACACGAAAGCTGTCCTGATTGCCATGCTCATCACCGCCATTGTGGCCATCGTTGTGACCATCTTCTGCTTCCAGACCAAGGCAAGGAGAGGGATGCACCCGGCCCTTCCCTGTATGGGTGGGGAGCTGGTCAGTGGGGACACCCTGGGCTCTCCTGTGACATTTGTGTGTGTCCCCCGCCCCCATCAGGTTGATTTTACATCGTGTCCGGGGCTGTTCTGCGTGCTGGGCATTGTGGTCATGGTGACCGGGATCATCACTGCCATTGTCCTCTCCTTCAAATACGTGAGTGGGAAGGAGAGAGGGGCTGTGGGGAGCCCTGGGTATTCCCGGTTGGCTGTCCACAGGGGTGAGGCCGGCAGGGGTTTTGGGTGGTCCCTTTGCTGGAAGCAGGGTGTGGTTCCAGCCGTGGAAGGCAGCCTGCCTGCAGGGAGAGGGTGTGTCAGCATCGGCAGCAGCTCCTCCGGAGCCGGGAGCGGGCGGGACATGCCCTGCCTCGCCTGCTGCCTGCCAGCAGCCCGGCTCACCCTGCTGTGCTCCCTTCCCGTGCAGGTGCCCTGGCTCCACATGCTGTATGCGGCCATCGGGGCCATCGCCTTCACACTGGTGAGCTGGGGCAGGCAGAGGGTGCGGGGTGGGCACTGGGGAGGGAGGAATTCCCCCTTGCTCCTTGCCTGACACTCTCTGTTCCTGCAGTTCCTTGCCTATGACACCCAACTCGTGCTGGGAAACAGGAAGAACACGCTGAGCCCCGAGGAGTATGTCTACGGTGCCCTCACCATCTACACTGACATCATCTACATCTTCACCTTCATCCTGCAGATAGTGGGCCGGGATTAGCCCTGGGACCCCTCCTGTCCCTCTCCAGCTGCCCCCCACCCCTCCTCTGGTCTCTGTACAGGATAGTCTGCTTACTGTGACTCTTAATGCTTTGGCATTCCTACCTGTAGGCTGCTAAGGAAAGGGCTTCCCTTGATCATCCCCCAATAAGCTCTGAGGGCAGTGGGGGGGACTGGTTGCCAGCGTTTAGGCAGTTTTAGCCCAGCTTTGGCACCGCTTGCGGAGGCTGTGCCAATGGCATTGGGCTGGCAGCGGAATGTCACAGCCCTGCCTGGGCACAGGGAGCTGGCAGCGGCTGCTGGGATCATGTTGGGATTTTTTGGCAGAGAACAGTTGGTGTCACTCACTCTGTGCCTTAAATGTGGCTCTGGCCATGCCCCCTCCCCGGGCTGTGGCTGTGCCCCGTGTGGGCAGGGGGCAGCTGGGACCTCTGTGGCAGAGCTCACATTGCAGAGCCCCGCAGCCATGGATGTGGGCAAAGTTGCACTTGCTAAATAAAACACTTCAGTTTTCCAGACAGTCCCAGTCTTACTTGTGTGGCAACTCCCTCAAAAAACCTGTGGGCAGACTCAGTGGGGGCTGCGGCCTGGTGCAGCACAAACACTGATTTGGTATGGGAAAAACAAGGTCACACTGCTCCAAGGCTGGCCTCCCTCCCCTGCCTGTAGCCCCTGCTGTTGTGGGCAGAAGCCCAGCTGCAGAACAGCTGGGGCCCCGACTGCTGAGGCAGGCAGAGCCTGGGGCTGAGCACTGAGGGAGCAACTACAGTGGCACTGAGCTGTTTCACTTTATTTGTTCCTATTCAGCTCCACAACCACATCATGGTCTGGAAAGGCAGGGCAGATGCCACTGTCATGTGTTCCATGGGGCTGGTGTCACCTTGGCCAGTCCCTCCAGGGTGCTGCAGTGACAGCCTGGGCATGGGGGCAGCTTGGCTATGCCCTCTTGGCCATCCTGCTGTATCGCTCCGTCTCGTACTCGCCCTGGTTGGCTTCCATCATCGCTTGACGGACTTTGAGCTGCTCGAGGCGGTTTTTGTCCACTTGCCTCTTGGTCAGGAGGAAGAGGATGATGCCGGAAGGCAATCCAATGGCCCTGCAGGACAGCCAGCAGTCAAGGAGATGGAGAGAGTGGGTGGGGAAGCAAGGGTGCTGAGCCACGCTGGGGCTGCATGGACAGTGCCCTGTTCAGCAGTACAGACCCCCAGGACCCCTGTTCCACCCCAGCCCTCCCAGTGCCGACCTCTCCCACCAGTGAGCCACTCACCAGGCCACCCCCACCGGCTTCATCGGGTTCTTGCCCTTCTTGCGTGTGGGGATGTACTCCACGCCCTCGGGGAGCCCCCCGCTCCTGACTGGCTCCTGACCTGCCCCTTGTCCCGCGGGCCGGGGACAGTTCTGCCCAAAGAGCCGTGTGCCCCGGGCGTCCGGCTGCCCCCAGCCCTTGGCTGGAGCTCTTGCTGCCACCAGCAGTCCTGCGGGGAGAGAAGCATTAGGGAGGGGCAGCTATGGGGCAGAGTGTCGGGGGCCCAGCCCGGGCTGCCTGAAGGTCCTGTCCCTGCCCTTACCCCTACCCTTACCCCGGCCCTCTTCCCTGTCCATCCCCATTCCCGTCCCCCTGCCATAGGCCCTGCCCTTCCGCCAGGGGGCGCTCGAAGGCGGGCCCTGCGCCGGGGGCGCGACCGACACAACTGAGGCGTGGCCAAGCGCAGCGGGGGCGTGGCACTACGCCCTTTCCTCGGCGGGGTGGGGCGGGGCGGGGGTGCGTCCGTCTCGGGGCTCTTGTGCCGAAGGCCGCGGAGCAGTGCTGTGAGGGAGGTGGCGGAACGGTCCAGGCCCCCCCGCCCCGGGGTTGCCCCCTGCTCCTGCCCGCCCGCTCGCCCGCCCGCCGTTACCCCGCAATACGCCTCGCGCCGCCGCCATGGTGCCCGTGTGCACAAGCGGCTCCGCTGCATGCCGGGAGCTGCAGTCTCGCCACTCGGGGACTGTCGGCGGGCGGCGCCGCACGGTGTGTGCGCAGAAAACTACATCTCCCAGGGTGCACCGCGCAGGGCGGGGCCGGCCCGCGCTGCCGGCGGAAAGGGCGGGATCCGCGCGCGGGCTCGGGCCGTGGTTGGCCGGGGCGGGCGGGGATCGGCCGGGGCGGGGCACGCGGCGGAAGCAGCGGCAGCGGCGGCGGCTGCGGGGTGGGTCGGCATGGAGCCCGGGGAGGGCCCGGGGGCGCTGGACCTGCACGGCGACGAGGAGATCATCGAGGTGGTGGAGCTGGGCCCGCCCGGGCCGGGTGAGACGGGGCGCCCTGCGCCACGCACCGGGCAGGGCCTGCGGGGGTCCGGCCTCCCGCCGGGGCACCGGGAGCGCTGCGGCCCCACCCCAGTGCCAGGCCCGGCCGGGGCATCCCCTCGGCCCGCGGCCTCTCCCCGTGTCGCGTCCCGTTCCTCTGCGGTTTCCTTGCCCTGGGGCTCGTGGCCCCGGTGGCATCGCGCATCCCACGCTGCCTCGTCCCGCAGCCACCCCCGCTGTCCCGCCGAGCCGGGCAGGCCGCGAGCCCCGCCCTGACCTTCGCCCTCTGCAGATGACCTGGCCGAGGAGATGGAGGACGTGGACTTTGAGGACGAGGGAGCAGAAGAGCCCGATGGCGAGGCTTGGGAGTCGGAGGATGACGAGGGGGTGGAGGACGGCATGGAGGCACAGGACGACAGCGAGGTCACGTTCTCCCTCCACTCGGGTGAGTGCTGGGCACGGGCAGAAGCAGCTGGGACCCCCCCCTCAGGACCTGGTCTCGTCTTGGCTTTCCCCAGAGTCCAGGGGTGCAGAGTGCCTTGCTGGGCTGCTGTCTCCCAGCCTTCTTGGGACTCAGAGTTGTCCTGGGCTTGTTTCTGCCTTGTGCTCTGGCAGAAGAGCCCTTTGGGCCTCCCATTCCATTAGCAGCTGGCCCTAAGCTCAGCAGAAAGCTTGTGCTGCTCTTCTCCCATGTGAATTGGTTCCCACTGGGCTGGGTTGAGGGTTCAGCTTGCGGACGTCCCACCCAGTGCTGCATGGGGTTTGGATCCCCTGGGAACGTCAGGTGAGGTGGGATCAGCACCATAGCCATGCAGCCTCTCTTTGCTCTCTTATGAAGATTCTGTCTTCTGTGTGAGCCTTGACCCCAAGACCAACACGCTGGCAGTGACAGGCGGAGAGGATGACAAGGCCTTTGTGTGGCGCGTGAGTGATGGGGAGCTCCTGTTTGAGTGCTCAGGTGAGGTGCAGTGAGCAGCTGTGTCCCCTCTCAGCAGTGTCTATCTGCACACATTTCCCTCCAGCTGATGCTGTGCTCCTGATCATCTTCCATAGCTTGGCCTGAGCAGTCTCTGTCCCCTGATGTTCACAGGACACAAGGACTCGGTCACCTGTGCTGGCTTCAGTCACGACTCTGTGTTCGTGGCCACAGGTGACATGTCTGGGCTTATCAAAGTGTGGCGGGTGGATGCCAAGGAGGAAGTGTGGTCCTTTGAAGTGGGGGATTTGGAGGTGAGTGGTGCTGTGAGGGGTTGCCCAGCCAGCAAGTGGGGTGGCAGCACTTTGGTGACACTGCCTGTGTCTCTCTCTGCCCAGTGGATGGAGTGGCACCCTCAAGCCCACGTACTTCTGGCTGGTACAGCTGATGGCAACACCTGGATGTGGAAGATCCCCAGTGGGGACTGCAAGACCTTTCAGGGTCCAGCATGCCCAGCCACATGTGGCAGGATCCTGCCTGATGGTGAGGCCCGGGGCCTCTCTGGAGTGTGAAATGTCACCAGCTCTGTGTGGACCATCTGCCCTCCTGCTTCTCCCAGGCTGTGCTGAATGGGAGGCAGGGGATTGGGGTGAGGGGGGGGGGGGTTGCTGTCTCTATCTGCTGTCTCTGTCTCACCCAGGGAAGCGAGCAGTGGTTGGGTATGAGGATGGGACCATGCGCATCTGGGACCTAAAGCAGGGAACCTCCCTGCATGTCCTGAAAGGTAAGGAAGAAGGAAGAGGTTTATTACCTGGGCTACTCTCTAGTGGGCAAACAGCCCCTTCTAGTGGGCTCTGACCTCTGCCTGGGTGGGGAGGAGGCATCCTGTGAGGGCAGGAGGGTTTCTCTGGCACAAGGGTGGCTGTTGCTTGTGGGAGTGCTGCCAGAGCCAGGCAGGGTGGAGGCTGCAGGATGGTGTTTCAAGGCTCACTGGGTCTCTGTGGGGAGGGCACATAACACTCATACCTGCTGCTCACCCCCCAGGCCAGGATGGCCATCAGGACCCCTTGACGTGTGTGGCCAGCAACCAGGATGGCAGTTTGATCATGACGGGCTCTGTGGACTGTCACGCCAAGCTGATCAACTCTGCCACGGGCAAGGTGCGTCTGTGGGGGCTGGGCAGAGCCAGGAGTGCTGGGGAGCCCTGAAATCCCCTGTCCTGGGCCGGGGGCAGAGCCAGGAGCGCTGGGATCCCCTCACATGCGGGGCCGGTGTGCGGCCATCGGCAGGCGGCGCCCTCGCGCTGCGGGTGGAGCGCGGGCTGGGTGGTCCCGCCCGGCTCCTGGAAGTTCCTTCCCTCTTGTTTGCTCCCAGGAGCTGAGGATTTGAGGCCGCGCCTTGTTCTAATGAGGGCGCAGACTCGGTATCGAGTACGAACGGGACCTTTGTGAATCTGGGTCTCCTTCCCTCGGGATATAGTCACTCTCCCTCTACCCAGGTGGTGTGCGTGTTCAAGATGGAGAGCGTGACCCCCAAGGCACCCATCAGTGAGGGTGAGGAGGTGGAATCCAACTCGGTGGAGTCGCTGGGCTTCTGTAATGTGTGAGTGTTGGGACAGCCCCTCTTCAGTGCTACATCTTACAGGGCTTGTCATACAGATCCATTTGCATCCCTTGCGCTCAGTCTGCTGCATTCCTCTTGCCTCCATCCTCCCCAGCTGGGTGTGGAGATGCCAGATCCCTTTGGTATGAGGCCAAGGGACACCAGCTGCTCAGTCCTCCCTGCAGCTGTTGGGATTCTGGGCTAGCCTGATGGACCGCTGCTTGGCTGGGATACTCTGCAGACAGCTGTTTTCCTGCTAGGACATTGTCATCTTCACAAACCACGGGCTGATTGCTGACTTGCTGTACTGTTGGGTTTCCCAAGTGGGGTGTTTGATGGCTCCAGCCATCAGGTTGTCCCTCATCTTAATACATTGTAGCTTTCAGCATAGGGTTTGCCTTTTACCTGAAGCCTTTTTGTGTTTGCATCCCTGCTTCCCCATGTCCCATGTCATTCCTCTTCCCCTGTCTGTAGGATGCCACTGGCTGCTGTGGGCTATCTTGACGGCACACTGGCTATTTACGACCTCTCCACACAGAGCCTGAGGCATAAGTGCCAACATGAGGTACTGCCCTCCCCCCCACCCAGGCCCGAGAGGTGGGTTTGGGCCTTTTGGAGATCTCCCTTGAAGCTCAAGGGCCAGTTCCCAATTTGTACTTCTCCCTAAGCCTTGGGCTTCCCCAGAGGGCAGCCGCAGTCTCTGCAAAGCGGATGTGCTTGGCCCTGGGGTCTGGCTTTCCTGGGGGGATGGCAGACACCATGAGGGGGTGGGGGTACATGGGGGGAGCCAAGCCTTGCGGGAGGTCCCCACTGTGGTCTCCCCCTGCCGCAGTCAGGGATTGTGCAGCTGCTGTGGGAGGAGAGCTCGGCCGTGGTGTACACCTGCAGCCTGGACGGGGCTGTGCGGCTCTGGGACGCCCGCTCGGGGAAGATGATCAGCGAGTACCGAGGGCACTCTGCTGAAATCCTCGACTTCACCGTCAACAAGTGAGCAGGCACCCCTAGACCCCTTCCCTGCTGGTGGGGGGGGAGCAGGGATAGCAGGGGCCTCCAGCCTAGGAGCTCACATCACAAGCTGCCTCTTCTCTGAGTGCCCCTGTGGTCTGGGGCCCAAGGTGGGGGACAAACCTAGGTCCATGCTGACACTTCAGGGTCTCAAGGGGGAGTGCAGCACTTCAGAGCTGGGCTGGGGGTGATGGTCAGGGATACTGGAAGCCCCCACCCCACCTCTGAGCCCTGTCTCCCTGCAGGGATGCCTCCATTGTGGTGACCACCTCTGGCGACCACCAAGCCAAAGTGTTCTGCGTCCAGCGGCCCGATCGCTAGAGCTGTGTCAAGGGACGGCGTCCCGGCGCTGCCCTGCGCCTTGTGTACAGAGGGACATGGTTTCACCACCCTTCTCCAAGTGCGTGCTTTGTAATTTTTCCAGCCTGCCCTGCTTTGCCCTCACCATCCAGGGGCCAAGCCAGGGGTTTTGTATGAAGATGTCTTTAATTATATAAATTATTTCACTTAACTGGATGCCAGCTACTCTGCTTGTTGGGGGGAAGAGGATCTGGGGAGCTAGGCTCCCTCCTCAGGGATCTCCCTGGCATCCCACCACGGCCTGAGGATCAGTGGCAGAGACTCCCATCCTAGCTCTCCCTGCTAGGGGGAATGAAGAGGTCAGGATAGGAGGGTGCAGGTTGCTAGCTGAAGGAAGGAGAATCCTGCTCTGTACAGTCCAGGAGTTCCCTAACAGAACACGCTATTCCCAGATCTGCGTACTGCACCCAAAAGTTCACCAGAAGGCATATGTTCCACATTACAGGAACTATCTCCCTTGGGGCTGTGACTAAACACCCCTTCCAGGGCAAAGTCACGTGCATTAACAAGCCAAAGCCTCACAGTCCTTTAAGATAGAAAGATCTTCTTTATTAATGAACCCCAACAGTATTTCTTCAGATACAGGAGTTTTGAACTCAAATACTCAGAAGAAAACAAGTTAATATTGCATTATTCTCATAAGAAATACTGCAACTTATTTCCGGTAACATATTGCAAAGCGAAACAGCTTGAAAAGAAAAAAAAAATTAAAAAAGAAAAGAAATTAAGTCAATCAAACTGGAATTAAAGTTTTGTTTCTTGGAACGATCGAGTCCTCGCAAGCACAGCTCGTTTCTGCAGATTACTCCCCCAAGTGTCGTACAAACAGACCCCGATTGCTTGAATTCCTTATGAGCCCACAGAGGTGCAACATTAAAAGCTACGATTATGGGGTAGCAAGTGCCCCAACCTTCGTCCTCCGGCAGCCTCGGTGACTTGGTGTTAACGGGTTGTGAACGTCTTCCCCCTGGAAGGATGGAGAGAGGGGTCAGCACAGCCCCAGCAGCCTGTGGGGCTTGTGCTGGGGCACAGCTCTCGAAGCCAGGCAGGCACTGCTGGGTTGGAGCTCACAGGGTCTGTGGCTGCAGAACCAAGTCACAGGGCTGTGGGAAGGAGGGGCTAACTTTTGCAGAGGGGACAACCCTCCTGCCCCAAAGCAGCATGCAAAGGGGACATGACAGGACAAGCAGAGAAAAAAGGACACCAAGGGGCTCTGGGATAAGCAGAAGGTAAGGGACCTGAGTGAAACATGTTCACACAACTGCTCTCCTCCATGCACTTCCCTGTGGGCTGCTGTTCACAAGGAGGAGTTAGCCAGCATGGTGGCCTGGCCCCAGCCATCAGCTGGCCAAGGGCAGCCAGTGACTGAGGAGCTGCAAAACACTGGGCAGCAACACCTGGTCCAGTGCCCACAAACCCCAAGGAAGGACCTGGCTCCTCTCCCTTCCATGAGCTGGAGCTGCCCCCAGACATGGACAAGGCAGCTCTAATATAACAGAGAAAAAGCCCCCAGGAATGCCACCAAAGGTTTGGTGGGGGGAAATGGAGATACCAGGGCTTGCAAGGCCATGTATGAGCCTTTTGTGAAGGACCTGCCAGCACAGGGTTTTGTCTCAGACCCAGCTCCTCACAGGACATCTGAGGCAGTAAGCTGTGGGTCACCCCCTGCCTGCCCAGGACTGCAGCGTGCCAAACTGAGCAGGACTGAGCTCATGACTGGCAGAGAAGCCCAGGCAGCCATGCCCTGCTTTGCTACTCACGTGATTGTTTTCATTTCTTTCTTCTCTGCGTCTGGACGGGCACGGTTGAGCACCTTGAGGAAATCTGACGTTTTCGCCCTCATACGCGTGTGAATATAGGCCTGTGTTTCATTAGGACAAAATGGGGACATGTCAGGAGCCTTTCTTCATAGCTGAGATTTCAGGACACATCAAAGCCAGGTCACTCTGAACAATTACCCTCGTTTCTGTTCTCAGAAAGGAAACAAACCAGATCCAAAAGGGAAAAATCCTACTTCACTGCTAGAATGGAAAGTCTTGTGTCCAAGAGCAGGGAGAAGGCAATGATGCATCACTTGCCACCCCTGCATGAGTGGGGAGGGCAGTGGCAGACTCTAATGAGCTCTCAAGGGGCACCCTGTCCCTGCTTCTCCCCTTCAGCAGCCAGGTTAGATGAGCTGAAGCCACCCTGTGTTCCCCAGCCCTCATACCTTCGAGCACTTGATGTGATAGTGCAGGTAGTCCCGGAATGTGTGGATCAGGTTTATGGTGTTGTCTCTGGCTGCAGCATTGGTGTGACGGGGGAACAGCACTGAAAGAAGAGGCCAACACAAACCATTAGTACCTCCTGAGGCTGCCAAGGCCTTCAGGATCAGGGCTGGAGGCTTCAGGGTGTGCTGCACTGAATCCCTGCCTTGCTCTCTATAAAGAACCCTTTACTCTTGACATGTACCAAGATTAAGCAGCACTTGTGATTTTAAATACAAGGCTTATGAGCACTTATCCACATTTCCCACAGCAGCCCGTGCACTCTGGAGGACACAGGCAAGGCCAGGTGTCCAGAAACAATGGCACTGTAGGAAACCACATGATCAGTGCTTGGGAGATACAATTGGAGGAGCAAGCTGGGAGGCAGACCAGGGCGCCCAGCCCAGGCTGCTCAACCAATTTCAAGGTCCATTCTGCCCTGGGGTCCTGAAATTGGTTGTGGATTTTTGCCTGGCAGCTTGCCAGCCCTGTAACATAAGACAGACTTGGGTACAAGCAGGTAGCTTGCTCTTTCCATAAGCTGGTGCTCTGTTAGGTGTCCCAGATCTGAGGGCTGAAAGAACATTTTGTTTGGGTGATGATCTCACCTAAGACTGTCAGATCAGATAACTGGGAAATTTAGTCTCAACAAGAACAAAAGTATGTACCATCCTGGACCTCTTCTTTCCATAGCTGACAGCTGCCCAGGCCTCAAGGCACCATTTCCAGCACAGGAGGAGAGCAATGCTATCTTCACCTTTCCCTGCAGTGTCTGTGCTCCATCTCTAAGCTCCAAACTACAGGAATGCTGGCCTGAGACACCCTAATAACACACCCAAACATCTTGAAAGGACCTATCCCTTTCAACAGGGCAGGGTTTAGACTCCTCAACACTGCTACCCAGGGGGAAGTCATGGCTCTGCTGGCCAGCACCTCTGGCAGGGGAAAGTGGCTCATCAATGTTTGGCCCAGAGCAAAGAGGCAGAGCTGGAGAAGCAGAATGCACTGCTCTGCTGCTGCTCTCTGACCGCCTCTGCTGATCAAGCACTGCACAGCTCCCTGCAGCTGGACTACCTACAAGTACAGTTGCATGAAAACTTTCACAAGAAACCTCTAGTTTCCAAAATATCACAGCAAAGCCACTCTTCCCTTTGCTTCCAAATACTGAACTTAATTTGTAGGCACACACTAAACTCACTGTCCACTTCCACATCTTCTTGCCCACAGCAGAGCTGTGGTGACCTGATACAGAAAAGGGACACTCCAAAGGGGGCACACAGGACAGAATGCAACCCCAGAGTCCTTGCAGCCCTGAACTGCCCACTTCAACACTCTGGGAAGGTGAATTCCTTTCTGCTTTTCATGCAGCAACAGGAACCTCTCTCCTCCCCAGGCATCCCCAAGCCTCAGAGCTGCCTGCTTACCAAAAGTGATGTAGCCAATATTATCGCCAACAGCTGCGTCCGTGTCTTTCAGCTCCAAGGGTGGCTCCCTGTGGCTGAAGAGCACCTGTGGGGCTGTGTGACTGGCCCGGCGCCCCTCCTTGAACTCCTGAACAAGACAAAGTGAAGGTGATTCCCACTGTGACCCTTCAGCAACATGCTGGGAAAGCAAATGGGCTTCCTCACTCCCAAAGGGCAATGAGCAGAAGGTGGCCCAGCTTTCCTTGAATTGATTAAGTTCATCAGGCCAAACACCCTGAAAGTAACTCTTTTTCCCAGCAAAACCAGCCCAAAATGCATGGCTGTCCTGGGTTTATACATGACCATAGCACAGTCCCTCAGCTGGAGTGGCTTTCAGTGTGTCACACCCCTGCCATGGGTGTTTTGTGAAAGGGACACCTCAGTCTGAGCAAGCACATGAGACAGCACAGCTCCTGCTGGAACTTCAACGCTTCCAGTGAAAGTGCACAGTACCCATCACTCCCGAGGAACAGAAATTCTCAGGATGGCCTGCAAGGTCTCCATCACACCTAGTTCTGCCATTTGAGAAACCATCTCCCACAGGAGTCTGCCTAGGCATCAAGATGCATCTGGGGGCTTGAAGCTTGTATGTGAAGTCTGCTCCTCTTAATGCTTCCCTACACCTTGAAACAATACCTTCAGGCAGGGAGATCCCTTCTCCCACCTCACAGGAAATGTACTGGCTCTGCATTTCAGGAACTGTAAGGACCATCTCTGTGTGGGCTGGGAATGTCCAGAGACCATTCTTCTGCCCCAAGGCAGGGCAGTCTTCCCTCTGCCTCACTGACCTCCATCCCAACCTACACATTATCAGCTACCCTTGGCCTCTCCTCTGACCAGTTTCCCTGGGAAAGGCAGGGCATCCACATCCCTTTTAGAGTAGATTGCTGGGGTTTCCTTAATGAAATGCTTAGCTTGCACTTCTGCCTGCTTAAGCCAGAGGGTGAAATGGTTCAAATGGCTTCACTGGTTAGTTAATGGTCACATTTTCTCCATGAGAGCCCAGATGAGCAGACACCATGCCCAGCTGCGTTATGCAAGAGCAATAGCTGGAGGGAAAGAGCCAGTGTGACTCAGAGTGGAAATTCCTGTGGCTGGGCAGAGGCAGGGTTTGCTGTTCTAAAAACCAAGAATTCGGGACATGGAGACTCCGGGACAGCTGCTGCCTTGAAGCACTGCCATCTTCCCAGGAACCTCACTAACCCCATTTTGTTCTCATCATGCCTCCCTTCCCATTTCAAAAACTGAATTCCAGACTGAGGGATATGCTTGGTGCGGGAAAACCTCAAAGCCAGAGCAGATGTCTTGTCTGGAGCAAATGAACACAGCAAACGGAGCTGTGAAGACTTCCATTGCAACAGACCCCCTTCTGATGACACCCAACACAGGTACACTGGTCTCCAGCAAACTGGGCCAGTAACTTACTGTCCATGAGCCTGTCA